AGGGAAGACAATATTAGAAGCCCCCCCCCCCCCCCCCAGTTCAGATTGACGGTGACGAAATCGAGGTGGTCGATGAGTTCGTGTATTTGGGCTCACTGGTGACCACCGAAAATAATACCAGCAGAGAAATTCAAAGACGCATTATGTCAGGAATCGTGACTACTTTGGACTCCGGAGGACGGTCTGGTCGAATAAAATTCGCCGCCGCACGAAGTTGACTGTCGACAAGACGCTGATTAGACCGGTGGTCCTCTACGGCCACGAGACCTGGACTATGCTCGTGGAGGACCAACGCGCCCTTGGTGTTGCGTACCATCTACGGTGGAGTGCAGATGGATGACGGAACGTGGAGGAGGCGAATGAACCACGAATTGCACCTGCTACTGGGAGAACCATCCATCGTCTACATTGCACAAATTGGGCAACTACGGTGGGCTGCCGCACGAAGACCCAGTGAAAATGGTTCTAGAAAGCGACCAAACAGGAACAAGAGGAAGAGGCGCGCAGCGGGCAAGGTGGATCGACCAAGTAGAAGGTGACCTGTGGACCCTTCGCAGACTACGAGGCTGGCGAACTGTGGCCATGAATCGAGCAGATTGGACACGACTTCTTCGGATAGCAGAGGACAACAGGGCCTTAGCCTGATTTTTAAGGTAAGTAAGTATGTATTTAACACTAGTATAGTTCAATTTTAATTAAAAGTACCCACATTCAAAAGTCAATTATTTACCACGCTATACGATCCATACGATACGGCAGCTCTCTAATGGTGAGTACAGTCAGTAGTACCAACCGGTGGAAACTAATGATTTTAAATTGGCTCACTACTTGACTAGCCCATTGGTCCCAAACAAATCGATTATCGTACCCCATTCTAACAGGTGTTCAATAAAACATGAGGATTTTTTCAGCCATATAGCTAGTAAAAAAAATGTATTTTTCAACGAATTCAGTATTTTTGATTAAAAACATAATTTTTATTCTTCAAAAAAACGTCAATGAATATTGGAGAAGGGACCCTGGTCAGCCGTACGACGCAATTTAGTCGCGATGCTCTCACAAGAGCGCTGGACGGTACTGAAATCATTCTTATTTTTTTATTGAACACCCGTTAGTCGAAATTCTACTACTATGTACTTTCTATGTTTCGAGAGGTGCATCAATTAGCTTGGGACCAAAGTTAGTACCAGAGCTGAGCCAAAAAGTTGAGCACGTTTCTTCGGGACCTTCTGGTCTTACAGTTACCACTATGATAATACGGACCATCAAATTGAATAATAAACTCAATTCTAGGAAATACTAAAATAGTTAGTTGGAGAGCTGCACTAACAATATTTTTCTTCCGTAAGATGTTTATGACCCCCCCCCCAAACTTCATCATAATAGATCGTAAGAAATTTGAAACCCCCTCTCCCCCCTAAATGCTTACTTAATTATTGAATGGCCCCTTTGCTAGCGAACACAAAAGTATCATTGAACAAGCGTTGCCAGATGTATTGCCTTTAGCAATGAATTTAAGTTTACTAAAACAAGTAAATACAAAGTTTTACTAATTAACATAGATAAGAGCATGCATTTATTAATGAACAATTATCAAAAACTTGATAAATACATTAAAAGGACCGTTTTTGGCACATTAGCGTTTCAACTAAAAAGGTTACACAAGAATGAATTGAACATAAACAGGGGAGATGGTATCAGTGCATGTAACCTAACATTCCCTTTCCGGCTCAGGGGTGTGAACAAAATAATATACAGCACGGTCTGGCAATGTGACATTTTGTCTACGACATTTGTTCACGCACATAAGAGCGATGGTAATCGCCGGTGTCTCACGCACTTAATTCCAACACGCAGTGATATCGTCACTATAAATCATCTTTAATCGCGGTTAGAGATACTTTTTTTTGGCTTATAATACAACGTTTATTTGCCGTCGGCCGATCGCGGGGATGGTTTATTTACTACTAACAGTACTACCTACTCTGCCTGATCATTTGTTTTGCCTGCATGTAGTAGGAAATATACACGACCACTGTTCAACCGTACCTCGGCGCCTAATACATAGGTGCCACAGTCGGAAGAAGTGTTAGTTTGTTTACTAAAATGAACCATGCCCATTTTGTTATGGCATGTTTGCTATAAGAAATGCGCCTCGTGTTTATTAGCGAATTTCACATCAAAGATTGATTAATTGAGTAGGAAATCAGTTTGGCACGGCATTTGTGACCAGCATACACCTTCCGGTAGTATGAAACAGGTCAAAAACTGTTCAAATCCGCAGATAAATTTTTTTGTTTTGAATTTCTGTATAGCAAAATAGTGAACTTTTCGTGAACATTAACGGCAAAGAACTCACCAACACTGGGAGACCGTGAGCTCCTGCCCACCTGTCATAAAACCGTCTTGCAACCGTACGCTAAAGCCTTTCTTATTCATTCTACACAGCTGGTTGTATGGTGCACAATAGCGTACGGGAGAGAAAATTGAGAGTGAGTGATCGCGTATTAGGGTGGCTCTCGCAACATAAATGCAAGCTATAGTTTTACGTTTGGCGCGATCAACATTCTTATGCACTAGATAGTGTGACGTCACATTTGTTGTTGTATTGTATAAAACCTGTCAATTGGGTTCTTAAATTTTGAAAAATGCATCGGTTTGTATAGGGGAATTTACGTATTCTCGGCAACCTAAGCAGCGACCTTCTTTCTATAGCCTTTTCCTCTAAGGAACGCACACATATGCAGTATTGGTTTGTTTGCAATCTTTTGCTGCCAGCTGCTTTAACAATTTCAGTCGAAAGAATTGTCAAAAGCTGTTTTGAAACGCTTTTACAAAGCTCCAATCTTTTCTAGTGAGAGCGAGTATTTTCGGCAACCAGTTTTTCTTCGGCAACCGTTCCATTTGAACTGCATGTAAATCTGCTGTTCTATTATCGGCAACTCGAAATCAGCTACAATTTGAAGTGCGTTTGTTTCATTTCAAGAAAACCTTGCTAGATTGCTTTTTCTCAGTGGTAAAAATATAGTCAAATTAAAGCTGAAAGCATAAACAATCGTTTGCATGCATTCAGCGAAGTGTTTTCGTCAGAAAATCCAGTGAAAATAGTGTTTCAATTTGGGTTGCCGAAAATAGTCTGGCATGCCGAAGCCGTAATTTCCCCTACATCATTTGAAAGAGTTTCGTTTTCTGAGTACAGTGAAATTTTTTTGAGGCCACACACTTTTACCTCGATTTTTAAATCAAGACTTAAAGTAAAATAATAATATCACTTTTTGACACTTAACTAATAAACTGACAGCTCGCTCCCATACAAAGTGACACCGAGAAGAACTAATAAGGTGAAGCTTTAGTGTGATGATTTATTAGCTAGAGAATGATCTTTAGAAGAATGTAGGTGGATAGTTCCGTTAGAGTACGGCAGTATGAAAATTGAATAGAAGTTGAAAATGAGCGAAGGGCCATTAAAGCGACAGTTTTCAAGATGACGCACATTTTTGCCTAGCCCGTACGATGTACGCGGGGACTTGAAGTATGTCTCCAAGTCCACAGGCAAAAAAAACATACTTCAAGTCCCCGCGTACATCGTACGGGCTAGGCAAAAATGTGCGTCATCTTGAAAACTGTCGCTTTAATGGCCCTTCGCTCATTTTCAACTTCTATTCAATTTTCATACTGCCGTACTCTAACGGAACTATCCACCTACATTCTTCTAAAGATCATTCTCTAGCTAATAAATCATCACACTAAAGCTTCATGTTAGCATTTCCAACCAACTCTGAAAATCGTTAACTTCGCGTATGAAGTAACATAAAAAACACTTTGAATGTAATAAGGTGATTTTTGTAAATGTAATCGTACTTATTTAAAATAGTTCTAGTGTATCTAATGTATAGACTACGAATATGCATTCACCTCAGTACCCTTAAAGACCCAAATTTCGATTCCTGAGAATCAAAATCAGCGGGGGGCTCCCTTAGCCCTATCGGTAAAGGCACAGCTGTAAAGCAAGCCATGCAGGGGTGGCTGGGTTCGATCTCCAGTCGGTCTACGTTTTTTTGGTTGATAAATTCTTCTCTGGGCATAGAGTATGATTTTCCTTGCCACACAATATATACTAATGGAAAAATTGTACAGGCTTAGATAGCTCTTAATTAACAACTGTGGAAGTACTCAAAGAACATTTGAGAGTTAACTCTTTTGTAAAAATGTTACTGAAACCAATCACATCATACCTCTTCGATAGCTTTTTTTCATTGTAGGGTAAGTGTGCCATTTTACGGCCAATGCGTTCCTTTAAATGGCCCGAGCTTAAATTTATTTTTGTATCATTCTCTATCAAATTTATTTCAATGCAACCTTACAACATAGATTTTGCCAGACATCTACGCAAATAAAAGCATACAAATTAATTTCAAATTCGAGTAAGACCCTAGAACTAAAACGGGAGCATTTGTGCCATAAATGGCTTACTTACCCTAGCAAGAAATAATTTTCTGAAGAATTTTTTAGAACATGACGGCTGTTTTGCTTACTTGGATCGGTACTATGAAGAGAACATTAATAGTTCAGGTTTTATTTTTTCATCAGCCTTCAATTTATTGTTATTTCTTAAATCTTCAGTTCAATCATTGATTGCATATTGATGAAAATTAATTACTTAGGGGATAAAGCAAATTTTTAATCGTTTTTCATTTTTGGCCACCAAGCAATATCCCTAGAAACAGAAATCATCCTTCCGGCAACAAGTCCCATTTGCATCCATATTTCCATTTTCCATCCTGTGTTACTAGATCGTCCAGAAACACACGTGAGCAAGTTCCCGTGACCATTCATTTCGACTTCATCTAGCTCACATGAGATCATCTAGATAGAAACTTCCGTTCACATCTCGTCGGTTATGAAAAAAAAAACCAAGTAAAATATTCTGCACAAACAATCACGCTCAGTTCAGAAATAGGACCATAAAAAAATGGAAATAACATTGTGGTGCATCCTACCTGCTTCGGTATTCACCTCGTGACCCAGGTGGCGTATCGCGTACAAAAGCAGCAGCCCGTAGGACAGTTGAAATCCCGTGGTGAGAACATGCGCCAGGAATGCAACTCCGCAAACAATCCAACCCCAACCGCCGTCCGGGTAGAAATGCTGTGGGTGCCACGAATCGTGCGGAAACGGACGAGGATCGTGCGATAGCGACGGAAAACAACGTGAGAAATGGACGGGAAAACAGTTTAGTGGAAATTTTGCACTATAGACAAGCACTCTCTCAATTCATGACAGGTAGATGGTGGCGGTCGCTTTGGGGGAGCGAATCTATTACCGTCATTATGACACCAGTATTTAATCAGCATACGCTTCCCGGTCGGTTCTGATTCACGTGTCACCATTCACGCGTCACGATTGAGAATGCGGCGGCATATCCGAAAAAGGGCACATGTCTGCGTTGGCTTACCTGTCTAATTGCATTGGTGTCAACACCGGCCCTTCGCAACGCCGGCACATTCCGATGGAGGGAATGCAGTTCTCGTTCCAACAGAGCCGGGTAGGCGGAATCTTCCTCCTCCATCAGTCGACTCCGGTCGTAGCCACCTGGAATGAGACACGAGGGGAGATATTTTAATGAGAATTGTTTTCATATTTCGAGAGTATGCTTGTACGCTCGCACCACTCTGCGGACAATGCGGGATGGGTGACACAGGCTGACAATAGGAAATGCGCTTAGCGTGACAAAACATATCCAGCTTGGTCGGATCATCATCATCATCATCATCACCATGATCGTACCTCGCTTCCGCCTCAACCAACAAAAGCGTGAGGCTAATGCGAACGTACGGTTTATTGATTATATACCCGTGGATTATTGTCTTATGAAATGTTTTTGTTTTGCAAACAAGCTAAGCGAGGGATGTTTATCCTTATCATAGGATTTTGAAATTCTTTACACAGGCGAGATGTGACGTAGTGCTTTTATGGGATGGTGGCAATTATACCGATTGTGAGACAAATAAAAAGCTATTTCGGGATGACTTTTAGATTGGATTTTTACTGTTTGACTGAATTGTTATTTTCGATTCTATTCAGCCATCCTAATGTCGATTGGTATGTTTTATACCGTCTAGATAACCACTACATATGTTCAAACATATATATTACAATTATCGATAGCAATAAATACCAAATACAAATATAACCAGCCCATCGATTGCATCCAGCCATTTGGCTAGGAAAATAGCTAACAATCACATCCAATTGAGAAGGAGAGTTCCTAAAGCTGATAGCATCCGTAAATTTTCAACCATTTTCGCAAATCGTTCCCAGCTTTTTACAGCTGATTTATGATTCAAGATGTCACCGTTTTATGGTTCCGGTTGAATCGAGTTTTGTTGATGCTTTCTCCCTTTCGACGTAACAAGTGAACGAGTTTCAGAGTTGACTCTTCCCTCCTGTTGACCTGCTTGACGGTGAGAGTTGACTTTTTTTTTATTTTACGAGTGCAGTATTAGATGGAGTAAGTCGTAAAGCAAGGGACTCTCATCCTTTTGTTCTGGTGAAAATGACTTCCCTCTGCTTTATTGACTACGCTAGAGGATTTCTGTGGAACCCATTGACCCATGACCGTTGCTTTAATTATGTCAAATTGTATTTTTTATTTTGATTTCGTGATCAAAATTATTTTCTGGAAGGTTGATTAATGGAATGATTTTCTTTTAAAGGGTGTAGTGCACACCGAAAATTTTCTGTAACTTTTGAACCGTATGAGTGAACAAACTGAAATTTTTTGTACATTGTTAACATCTGTCAAGTAACGGCGCCGGTGGTGTAGTGGTAAGCGTGATTAACTCTCACCCCAGCAGGCCTGGGTTCAATACCAGTCGGCGCCGCCGGGATGTTCTGAGGCATAATATCTCTGATCACGCCTTCCTTCGGATGGGAAGTAAAGCCGTTGGTCCCCGGTTCATGAGTTGATGGGTCGATAGGTAGGGTCCAGGTGTGGGAGCTGCCTTCCTGGCACGTCGGTAGCATTGGTGCTCAGCACGGAAAACAAGATCGACGGAAAAAACAAACCAAAGGAAAAAAAAAACATCTGTCAAGTTTCATAGTTGTTCATACAGTAGTTCCAGTCATATCGTCAAAATAAGAAATTATCTGTGAAAAAATGTTGATCACTTACAATTAAAATCCAGAGGTGTCCCATCAACGGATCACTAAAAAGCTTGGAATTTGAAATACAACTGTGTCTCGTGTGATAAGAACCTTCAAGAAGCATCTGAGTGGCCCAATGGACAGTAAAATTGCCAGGAAAGTTGTGCAACAGTTCAAGAACCATCCAAACATTTCAATTCGAGATGTCGCTAAAAAGTCCAAGGTCTTAGTCGCTTTCGTGCAGACAACCATGAAGAGTGCTGGGTTACATATTTGCAAGGTGCAAAAAGCCCCACACAAATGGATTTTTGATTAGTTCTTAATGGGAATGACATTGATGAAGACTGCACATTGTAGATGATGATGATGATGGCCCTACCTCTTACCCCTACAAAGGTTTGAGCTGAACGGATTTATCTTTAAGATAATTAAATATGGCAACCAGGTTTGAAAACAAAATCGAACTGGTTACAGTTACAGATATAAATTCCCTCTAGAGTTTACAGTTGCTTCACAGCGATATAAATGTGAAAAAGCTCAGGCGTCAACCTATTAGTTCGTCTTTTTGTCTACCTAAAATATTCATAAATATTACAAGCAATAAAGAGTTAATGAACAATCGACAAAGCATCCAATTACACTAGCAACCCCGCAATTTGATGCTATCATAATTTTCAGCAATGTCAGGAATGCTCACGAACCCCAAGCATTTGCCAGAAAACATACTACTAACTCAAGGTATTTTCCAAATAAGCTTCAAAATTGCATTTTTTGTTTCAATTGTAAATTCAGCAGTCTATATTAAAAATCCATCATCACCATCGTGATGAACAAAAATAGTTTTTGCAGTGCTACATTAATTATTAACAAGTCATTATGACAGCTATCCATATAAAATAATCTGTTAGAGATAACTTCGTCAAGATACATAATTTATCAATTCATAAAAAAAAAAAAATCACTGGATAACTGTTCAAACGACAGTTTTAACGTGTGAAATGCAGTGTCTTTTAAATTCTGTAAGTGTTGCTGAACGTTTTATAGGTCTAGGCATCGAATTGAAAACATTTTTTTCTTTAAAATATAATGAATTTTGTGAAGCACAAATCAAGAAACATGGTATTCTTATTTCAACCGCGTTTCTAGTATTATATCTATGAAAGTCACTTCCTCTTTCAATTTGATCACACAAATATCGAGGCAGGAAACCGTTAACTATTTTAAAAATGAACACCATAGTCAAATATACAATTCTTTGCTTCACCGACAACCACTATATGGTGTCTAGCATCAAAGTTGAGGAAGTGAATGCATAATATATCAATATCAAACGCATTATTTTACTCTGCAAGCGCTGTAATCTCGATATTTGTGTTGCATTGGCCAGCAATAATATGGAAGGGCAAAAGTCTAGATAAGGACAGATGATTGATTGGTATAGCTGTATTTATATGGCAATAGTTAAATCGTTTTTCAGTTGACATTGAATTCCATACTTCTTGGCAATTTTCTTGATGACATTGTCAATGTGAGAGTTGAACTTAAGTTTGTCATCAATAATCACGCCACGATTTTTAATCTCCCGAACGTGATCCAAAGTCTCATCATCAATTACAACAGAGACGTTCTCATTTAATCGATTCCGCGAAATTGCCTTAAATTGAGTTTTACTTGAATTCAATTTCAACTGCTTATACTTCAACCATCTACTTAGAGACCGCAAATCTTCATTGAAGTGTAAAACGGCATCATTTAAATCCTTAGCTGCAGTGAATAACATAGTATCATCTGCAAAAAGATTAATTTCGCAACATCGTAAAACGCGTCGCAAGCCATTACTATACATAATAAATAACAGGGACCCTAATACACTTCCCTGGGGCACTCCAAGGTTATTTCCCACGGGACTGGAAACAGAATCATTAAAAACAGTCCGTTGAGCTCTGTAAAACAAATAGAATTCAAACCATTTATATGCAGTACTCGTAATTCCAAAGCGTGTGATTGATCTTAACCATAAGGGTCTAGAATTTGTTTCAAAAGCGCGTTTAAGATAAAAACACAGCAACAATCGTATTTTTGGAAGTTTTTTTTTTCTATTCCTTTCTGAAATTTCCGTCTAAAAGCTACTTCCTAGAACATCTCTTTAAAGAAATTCTTCTAAAAACTTCTATTTGAATCATCGTTTTGAAAGCTTATTTACGAATCTTATTTTCCAAGTTTCTTCAAAAAAATTCTTTTTGAAAGCTTCTAGTTGGAAGCTCCTTTTAGAAGCTTCTTTCTGTAAGCTCATTGTATAACTTTTTTCTAGAAATCTACTACTTGATGAGGCTAGAAGAAATTTCTAGATAAAAAGTTTATAGAATGAGCTTTTAGAAAGAAGCTTCTAAAAGAAGCTTAAAGGAGCTTAACAAAATGGGAGCAACAAACACAATCATGGAATAACATGTCGTTGCTGCACCTTTATCCAGTCAGTAATTTTTAGCGAGTTTTTGAATTGCGGAACTGTTAGGTAGAATTTAAAAAAATCTGTGAAAAATTCAAAGTTTAGAAAATGTGTTATGAAAATTTATAGACTTACTTATGCTAACCCCGTTTAATGATAAAACACAACATTGTCGATTTTATCGAATCTTTACGAATAACGGTCATTTAAATTTTAGCCGAGTTTTTCAGTAATTCAGAAACCCAGTAAAAAAATTCTGACTCCTGTAAAAAATCCTAATGTGTGGAAATGGCAAACAACATTCTAAAAATGAGCAAAATGTAAGAAATTCATAATTTGCAATTAATAAAATTTGTAATAACTTCAGAACGACTGGACTTTATGTATGCTAATTTTTTAAAAATTATGCTTGAAATCCATTAAGGTTAAACACGAAAAAATCAGGTCACATGAAAAACGCTGCCCAGTTTTTTTTTAGTTTTTTTTTTCAAAATTTCACTGGATGAAACTAAAAGTCCTTACACGCAGGCAAAAGAACGTAAGAGTTTCATAAGAAACACTTTTGAATTTAAGCCATAAGAAACAGCCCGGTGGCAGGCTCGTAGACAACATTGTATACGTTGACAGCGGGCCCAGTACAGCAAAACAAACGATTTGGGGCCCGGACATGCTGCCTACTGTCAAACATAGCTGTTAGTATAGGCCTTGTCACCGGCCTGATAAGAAATGAGTGTGAATTTAATTGATTTGCCTTATGAAAAATAATGTTCACAAAAAATAATAAATCGGAGCAGACTGGGACCGGAAAATCGACGTTGAGGTTAGAGGGCCCGTGTGTATATCACACGCTCGAAACGAAAATCCCGGTCTATCCAACCGGTGAACACTTATGTCTATTTCAGTTACCGTGTGGACATAATTTGTGATGAGCCCCGGTCACTTTCAAAATGTATCATTATTTATGTACGGTCCATAAAAATTCGAAATGACGTTTCACAGT